ATAGATGAACGAATGAATGAATGGCTAACTGGCGGACTGACTGACTGACTGAAGGAAAGAATGAATAAATGAATGAATGAGTGAATGAATGAATGAATGAATGAATGAATGCAGTACATGAGACACACAAACAGGTTGTGACACATTAAAAATACATGCTTAAAATCTTTGATTGCTTGATCGTCGGATCTCGTTGCCCTACCAGCACTGATCCCATAAAGGACTGAATGCGGTGCCGTCTACTCGGTTGATCGTGTCGTGTCGTTGATCGTGACGACACGATCAACCGAGTAGACGGCACCGCATTCAGTCCTTTATGGGATCAGTGCTGGTAGGGCAACGAGATCCGACGATCAAGCAATCAAAGATTTTAAGCATGTATTTTTAATGTGTCACAACCTGTTTGTGTGTCTCATGTACTGCATTCATTCATTCATTCATTCATTCATTCATTCACTCATTCATTCATTTATTCATTCTTTCCTTCAGTCAGTCAGTCAGTCCGCCAGTTAGCCATTCATTCATTCGTTCATCTATTCATACACTTTTTTCCTCATTAATTTTGGGTACAGAGTTTCAGGTCAGAAATAGCTGGAGGGATTACTTGCACGTTTTTAGATATGATGACCGTACTATTTTTCAAACGTGTTCACGATGCATGTTATTGTCATTGTTATATGTTTCTTGACAACGACCTCGATGCGAAGGTCGAAAATTCGAAACGAAAACAATAAACGACTAGTAGCCGAAAAACGTTCCTACCTTGTAATGTCTAGTCGTAAAAGCTTAAAATCAAAAATATTCCAGCCCAGCTATTACCTATTAGTGGGGCAATACGCATTAGAATTGGTGAAGAATTACAGGGGTGTCGATTTGTGAAAATGGTTGGGGGTGCCCAGAGCTTTAACCCTCGCATGTATGCATTGGGGGGGGGGGGGGTCGAGCGGACCCCCCCTCGTTTTTTTTCGCGAATAACTCGCGTAAAAAGCGGCCGATCACGACGAAACTTTCAGTAGTGCCCTCGCGTTGATCAATTTTACACCTACCCTTGAAATTTCATGACCCTGACCTAAATGACCTTTGACCTGTGACCTACTTTTCGAGACCATGCTTGGCCGGAATCGTGATTTGGCGTATGTCGGCTCGCATTAGCTGCGCGTTTGCAGTCTTTTCGTGGTTTCAAGCGTTCAAACATGTGATGTGATGTTGCTCCCATGCATTAGAGTGGGTGTCAAGGTCACCTGAAGGACAGGTCAGGTCAGTGACCTTTGATGACCATTGACCTTTGATGACCTCGGTTCACTTTTTTCGAGTTTTACATGTATCTAGGCTAGTTTTTGGAGCTAAATTCGAATTTAGCAACCATTTGAACATTTACGAAGTAGTTTTGGTACCTTCGTAACATGTTACGAAGTCGGCAAGGCCTCCCCCTCTTATACGTTCGCGGCTGGAAAAACACCAAACGGGCGAGGGTTAAGGCAGACCTCATATGCTATTCTTTTAGATAAAACTGCATTGTGTTAGTACCAGAGCTTCGGATAACATGTTAACTGGGTGGGCAATCGCCCACCCAGTAGCAGTTTTTGCCCACCCAGTGGAGTGTGTTTGCCCACCCAGTAAAGACGGAGACGGAGCAGTTTTACCCGCGCTGGGCCGGTGCTCGGCGCCTTCCGCGCCGGGTCGGGGGTGTGTCTCTGAACAACCCCGTCTAACTCGGCCCCTGGGCCGCGTAGCGACATGCGGTAGGCGGCATTGGAAAGACAGTTAAAATGACGAGAATACTTGGTCTTTATAAGGTCAGGTCAAAGCTCAGGTGGCCAGAGGTCATAAAAGGTCAAGTTTGGATTGTTTGAAACATTTTCGAAAACCTGGCGCATCATTTGGGCACTAATAGAGCTGCAGCGCCGCGCAAAAGCGCATTCGATAGCTCTTTCAACGCTCTTTCGCCGAAGTAGTCCTCAGATTTGACCTCAGGTCAACGGCTTAGCATAAACTCTCCAGAGGGCGAAAACTCCAATAATAGCCACTTATGAAAAAGTTTCTTTTTTCTGCCATAGCTTTTTACTCGAGAAAGTCATGACATGTATTTTGCCAGCCATCATGTTCTTCTTACCAAGACGCGTCGAATACCTAAACTATAGTTTGACCTTGAAATTTCATTTTGAAACTTGACCCCGGGTCAAGGTCAGGAGCTGACCGGAAAAGGTTATGTTGCATGTCAGTCGATCTGTTCAGTCGATCATCGCTCTAACATGCGCCTACCAGAAGTTATTAACGAAAAACTGTTAGGCTCCCTTTTGTGACCTGAGATGACCTCAGGAATATAAGGAAGGGTCACGTCATTTTCACGTAGGGTGTCATTTTCCAGTTCAGTGTGTCATGTTGAATTGTTAATAGGTGTTTGGAAGTGTTCAGAATGGTGTCCGTCCAGAAAAAAAAAACGCATTTTTATTTCCTTCCATTGACACTGATGATAGATGTCGGACTTTCGCCCCCTGAGGTCATTTTCAGTGAAACTAACATCTCAACTCAAGACGGGAACGAAAGTCCGATAACTAACATCGTGATACTAATGCCTCGTCTCAAGCATTCCAAAAAATTATCCCATGGACTTATAGGTAATGGGGAGGTGGCAAAATTGACCTGACCCTATGTCACCGGTACCGAAGTTTCGAGATATACATTTTGTTCAAACTGTTGGCCTTATCAATCGGTGAAATTTTCAAAGCAATCAGCCACTCGGTGTGGGTATGACAGACATCCGTACTTCAATCGTTATTTGTGAAAAACTGTCTAACTTAAGCGCCGCTATTTTGACTTGTTGACCCCTGTGACGTCATTTTTACCTGACCTGAAAATGACCTCAGTAAAAATTGTAGACTTTGTCCGTCTGTATCCCATGCCATACCGCTTGTTTCTTTCTTGCTCCGTTCTCGAGATATCACGGGGAGCAGGTATCCGCCCCCCGTCGGCCCGCGTCGGTGCGAAGTTGGCGCGGAATGCGGATCCCCGTTGGTGCGCGGGTTAAACCATGATATTTCGGACCAAAAGACTATCTCGCCACTCAAAGCAAAACTTCAGGACGTCCGGAACCGAAAACCCATTGACGCGGCACGAATGCGTCGATGGCTACCAAATGCTGCTGTCTGGCATAAATAAAGCGAAAAATTGTGTCCATTTTTACAACGCATTCTGATGTACGGTAATTAGAGCAGGGGCGCGGAAACCACTTTCAGACTGGGGGGGGGGGGGGCATACCATAATTGAAATCAACCTAGGGTACCCCCAAACCTAGTTTTCTCGCCGGTTTTAGACCACTTATTTTTCATCCCTTGGCGTTTTCATAAAAAGGAAACATTTGCAAAAAAGTGCAATATTCCGTCTTAAAGCTGTGGGGACACCACCCTTACGGCCCCAGAGTTGGGGGGAGGGGTAGACTGTCCCCACTGCCCTCCCCCCCGTTCCCGTGCCTATGAATTAACCCTCGCCCTGGCAGGGGGGTCGATGCGACCCCCCCCCCCTAAGGTTTTTCGAAGATAGCGTAAAAACGGCGGCGCGCAGCGCCTCCAAATTTGGCACAGCTTATGGGGCAACCTTTTTACATATGACCTGAAAATTTCAGGCCCGGGTGACCTTGGGTCAGGTCACCAGGTCAGAAAAAACGGTACAAGGTCATGGTCAAATTTCAATTTTCTTTTTACACCTGTCCAACTCACAGTTTTGGACTGATTTTCTTCAAACTTTCAGGATGTGCTAAGGTCACCGAGTTGTATAACATATAGTTCGGGTTTTTTGAGGTCACTGACCTGAGGTCAGTTAGATAGAGGTCATTACGTCGTAATGTTAAGCCTATGGGAAAATACTAAATTCGGAAAATACTGGAGATATCCGCTTCGTTCCATCACTTTTGTGCTTTGAAACCACATTACGTATCAGCAGGTCACTTGGTGCTTCTTTGTTTGGTGTACTTATCCATGGGTCAGGTCAAATGATGTCAACTGAGCTCAAATGACGTTTTTGCCAATAACTTGGCACATAATGACGCTAGAGCTTAAAAAATGGTATCATTGTGTTCCTGGTGATCAGCCAAATCGAATGATATGCGATATGATGCAATTTGGTTAACTTGAACTTAATTAATAAATTAAAGTTTACTTAATAATTAAGAAAAACTTTAAGTACACTTAAGCAAGCTAAAAAGTACCTATATCATTCGACGCGCCTTGACGTGCTGAGTTCACTGGTGCTTTTCTTTTTGCGCTATCTTAATTGGATCAAAAGTTATAACCGAAAAACTTTTGACCTGTTTTTAGCGAAATTTTTACATTTATACCCCCCAAAACCCCCCTAAATATTGACATAAAGCAACCAAATTTGCACAGGGGCGAGAACTCCAGGGGGCCCACCTACCTACCAAATTTGGTGTTTCTAGGTGCCATAGGAGCCAATCGCGAGGGTGGGGGGTCGCATCGACCCCCCCCCCCCTGCCAGGCCGTGTTATGAAAAATGCCCTGCCAGGGCGAGGGTTAATTAGAGAAAACAATGCGTTCAAAGAATCGTAACAGTGATGCCAGTACCAACTTTGGTTGGGGGTGCCCAGAGCCCCTTGGGGGGTGCCCAACTCAGCATTACAAATTTGTATACTCAGTATACAAATCGACACCTTAGACACCTATGTGAAGAAATCTACGTTAACAACACAATGAATGAATGAGACCACTTAAATAAAATTCAAAACGGTGATGGAATAAAACAGAATCTAAAATCATAAAAATAATTAGCAACCTGGCAAGAAATGCTTTTGCGGGCATCGCGGAGCAATGGCGATGGGCTGCAAACCCCGGCGTGGCTCATTCGAACGACCGCGAAGGGAAGTACAATTGGCAACCATAAATTGGAGCTGACGCCAGCTGTGGAGGGCTTAATCAATTAAACGATGGGTGGCCGCTTTACCCCGCTCTCCTGTATAAGTCAGAGGGAGATTAATGAAAATACACATAATACATTACACATCTTTATTACAAATGATCCTTAATGAAGGATGAGTATGAAGCATTTGGGATTGTCCTGCATCGGCAGCCGACTTACGTTGCATAGATAAAACAGATAGGTTGGAGGAGTGCGCAACACAATCATTTCTTCAATCATCACTCACACTTCAAGAAACGAGTTGCCCGTTTAGTGGGGACAGTGAGGTGCATGCACGAAGGAGGAGGGCATGACAGCGTTGCTTATTACCTACTTCTTCATTTGCAAAAAAAAAAATCCAAAGAAACTCACAATAGTCACGAACTCAGGAGATTTTCGACAGCATTTAGTCGCGTTTCTGACATGCACCCCTAACACAAGTACAACTGCTTGTAAACTGTTGTAGGTAACCCGATATGTGCGATGTGGACGAATCCGAGTGATGAGTGTGTACTGTATAGGTCTCGGTAGATTATGAATGATGCAAAATGCAGGCTAGGATCTATGATCCCATTGAATCTCGTGTGGAAAATAGATCCCGCACCTAACAGCTCGTAGAAGCTGACAGCAAACAAAGGACAGGTATTTATGATCGAAGTAGATCTCAGGACATAAAACTGTAAAACCAATCAGGTGGTTGCATTTAACAAGGCAGAAGCCAGCCAGTGGATTGGTTTAGGGTTGGCACGCATCAAGTAGGTCCTTTTCTTCAGCTAAAATGATTGAAAAAGCAAAAAGGTAGGACGCTACCCACATATTTGAACAATGCCGGCATCGGCCATTGTTGATCACGTTACACGTTCTGCGCGCCCACTGAACGGACAACTTTGGACGGGTTCACGGCGGGCGGCGGCGGCGGCGGCGGCGGTGGAGGCGGCGGCGCGGGGGGCCTCGACGGCCGGCCGTGGCCGATGGGCCGCACAGAGTTCAGCGGACAGTGTTTGTCCGTGTGGGCAATCGACCCGGTGGCTGCGCACTTGGGGCACACGACGAACCGCAGCCTCGGGCACATGACGAAACCATGCCGGTCCTGCGGACACACGGTATATGGAAGGTCAGCTGAAGTGAATAGGTTCCGACCGCCTTATGTGGTTAGTTTAGCGGGGCCAACAGACCGCTCATAGTTGTGCACGGTTAAGCTATTGCAATTTAACCTAGCATAGTCAATTATTAGTGCAATTAACCACAGCCTCAATTTAAACGCCTCCACACCCTGGCAGAGTGCAGGATCAATATTGAACATTAGAGATTACATTCATTAAAACAATGTGTACCAACCCAGATAAGTAAATGGATGTGCGTCACGTTAATATGCTACATTACGTTACGTTAATACAAACGTTAATACACACACAATAACATCACACCTGAGAACGGCTTCACGCCCATCGGAGATCTTACTCTGAGCTTGTGGTCGTGGTAGACTTCTGTCGGCTCCATATTATTTTTACAAAAGACGCAAAAGTTGGCGTTCGCTCTGCGTGAACTGGCTCCTCCGGCGCTGATCCATTTTGCCCAGCGGGCTATGTTGTCCGGACTGGGCGTGCCGCGCGGGTCACAGTCCTCGTTGGGACTGGGCAGGCCGGGCCCGGTGACGGGAGTGTCGGGCGACACCAGGATACACAGCGTGTCGTAGACGAACAGCTCGGACGGGTAACGATTGGCGTCTGCACGGAACACGAAGACAAGTCACTTTCAGAGCATCCGGGGAAACCGAAAACAAACTAATACATACTTGCCTACCAAAACTATGGAAATTCTTTAAATGTATAAACATAAAGATACCAAATGCATATATAGGTAGGTATAGCATATATGAAAATCATGTTTCAACGATGCAATTATAAAAAGGCTGACTCCGTAGATATTTCGACATGGTACGGTTGTTTTCTTGATTTTCCTTATATCAGTTTTAATAAAGGAGAAACAAATTTAGTCATGTTCTACGCCTATTGCAATAGGCACTAACAGGAAGGATTTCTGGAGAAAAAGATTCGACAGATCAAGATGAAAATGCAAAAAAATAAAAGAAAATGAAGCACTAATCACCCAGCCTAGAAATTCAATTACCAACCCTAAGAGCTTCGTAGGTATACCTACAGCTTTGGTATTCGCTGGCTTCCTACCTTACGTATGTCGGGACGCAAGGGTGGCTCAAACCACAGTTCAGAGCAGACTCTCCACCGGCGTTTGAAAGAAATTTAATCGATGATGAGGATGCATTGGTGGTGAGAATAGATGACGTGTAAGTGTCCCATTTGCAGGTATAGGGACGAGATGCATACCATATGGTCACTAACAACACAGGTCGGTTGTTGTTTGTCTCGGTTTTTACTTACCATTCCGCCCTTCAGCCATGTGCACGCTGGAGCTGTTAAAATTCCTCGCAGGTCGGCATGCACCTCCAACGTAAATGTCACAAGGTAAGACTAGACGGCAGCACTCCGATCTAGTGTCTGGCGACGGATAGCTGCCGCGCCGGCCAGAAACCCGTGCTGACGTGAGACGGGGGCGGAGCACAGGTGTCGGCCAATCACAGCTCGGCCGCCGATACCCAGCCAATCACAAGTCAGCAGACGGCCTCCCGGCGACCAATTAGCGTTTGGTTCCCAGTCCTCGCATCGATGGGAGGCCCCATCTCTAATCCTTCGAGTCTCAGCGAATCGACAGGACTTTGTGGAAGTGGGGAGGGTCTGTTTGAAATGCGCCACCACCTTTGAACACCATTTATAGCCTGAACTTTATTTAATTTCTTTGATAGCTCGTGCGAAAATAACGGCAAAATTATTATCATTTGGCATTCTATGCTGTGTTGTCACTTATCTTTATTTATGAGTAGCTATGACGACCATCAAATATCATATTCACGGTTGGAGGTTCGAGGTTTACCTAATTATGAAGGGTGATAAAACTCGGCCACAGCCAGGGGCGGCGCCACGGGTTTTCGATAGGGGGGGACGGGGACCGAAAATCGAAAATCCCAAAAGTAGATACTGATCGTGTATGCAAAAAAAAAAAACGAGGCACGTAACGCCGCGAAACTTGGCAAGGCCCAAAACACATCGAATGGTGCATCCCGTTTCCAAACTTATCCTAGGACACCTAAGATCGATCACCTTTTCAAGCATCCTTGCCTCTAAATCAAAATTTGCAGTCTTGCCAACTCAAAGCTGGTTTCCTACAAGCTGCGAATTGCTTAGGTATGAGTAGCAGTGCCAGCTATTCTTACGTTTCGTACTTTCAAATTTTCGATCTTAAGTCTGGTCAGCTTCAGGGCTTCACCATCATATAGTCATGGAGGAAAAGTGGGAATGTCTTCTGCTCTGACAAGTGCGCCAAAACTGCAATATGATTTCAGAATCATGACATCACCACCTGATCCATATGCAACGGGCAGGGTGCAGCTAATGGCTAGCCGTCAGTGGTCATGTCATCGGTGGTCACTCAAAAGGCCATGCTAGGTCATGGAAGGTCACCAGCCGTTATTTGATCACACTTTCTGATGGATTTTACTTGCCAAGAGCTTCGCGGGAAAAACGAGCGCATGCACCGTTGAAAAAAATTGAGTGAAAGGGTCTCAGGTCCGGCGACCTCTGCAGGTGAAATGCCCCAGGGTAGGATTCCGGTCCTTGTTGATTAACTTCGTCAAAAATGGCAGTAGAGCTGTGATGTCGGCACCATTGTGTTCGTCATGATCGAGCTGGCACGACCTGCATCGTTCTCATATTCACCCTCCAATCGTAACAACTACAGCAGGGATTGGCAAATGGCGGGGCACCCCCTTTGGGAGGTAATGAAGGTCTCCGGAAACCTCATCCCACATCTCTTTAGCATTAGTGGCTCTCCTTATGGAACAGGTTTCTTGACTGGTCTGTTTCACCCCAGAATTCAAAGACTAGTCAAGGTAAAACCGAGCGCACCACAGTGAGCACAATTTGATAAGCTGGTGTATCTCAATTTTCATGTAGAACCTTTCACGTATCACGGAACTAAAACCCTTTCGTGCACTCATGCAAAAGCAACTGCCATGTTTCAACAGCTGGTAATGGCATTTTCACAGCCGCTGACGTAAGAAGGGGAGGGATGGGGGGCTCGATTAGACCCCCAGCCGTTCGGCCGCCGACCGAACTTAGTTTTGCAGAAAAAAAAAAACGAGTGCTATCGAACCCCTTGACGAGAGGGAGCCGATGCTATATCCTTAATTATAAGGCCTTGGGCTACTGCGTGCTTTTTTGGTCCTGCCTGTGATCTATCCGAACACTTCTCCCCACAAGTGCTGGGGTTAAATGGCATAGATTTCAAATGGTTCCTGTGGTAGAACTGCCATGCTTGAATTTGACTAATTAGGAATGGAAAATTTTCATATAGTAACGGAAATCTATGGAATTTCAGTGAACTTGGTTTTATCGGCATTGGGGTCTGGCAGTGGGGTGGGGAGGTAATAAGTAATAATAACCCTGCCTGGCGCCCCAAAAAGGGGGCACGATCCCCGAGGCCCTGCCGATCACCTTATAACTACAGGCATCACAGCTCCACACCTTTTGCAAATGGCCAGAACCCCCTGCGATGCATCCCAACAGCAATCTTTATTCAGAACCTGCCTTGATTGACCAACGATGCATTAAATGCGACGGACAGCTCTATAATGCATTATTATCAACTATTGAACGGGCCTCGCCGATAGGGGGGTACTGTACCCCCCTAACTTTCGATAGCGGGGGACCTGTCCCCCCTGTCCCCCCCGGTGGCGCCGCCCATGGCCACAGCCCACGGGTGTGAATAGGAAATCGATCCGGAAACCAGTCGAATGCTCAACCTGAATAAATGTAGATACATATCTATTATCTAGTACCTACCTAGGTAGTAAGGTACTATCGAAGTCAACTTTACATACACCTAAATTCGTGATTTACCATCAAATTGCATTTCGTGCATGCTCACGTATAAACTATAAAGTCCCAAAGTATAAAACGCTGCACGTCAAAGATGCAGCGATCATGCAGTTCAGGCGACAAACATAGGTGGCAAATTATGAAAATGTCAGAAAGGAACAGGAAGTCAGACAGGAACCGGGTGTCCCACAATAACTTAGGTATAAACTGAATATCCCAAGAACTGTAACGGTAAAAAGCAATTTTATTATTTTACTATCATATGAAGCTTGAAAGCTTGGTCTTTGACAAATTTTGCTGATATATAATATATAGTTGTGCTTGATGGGAAATTGGAACAATATTCAAATAAGCTGAAACTTGTTATTTTGCTTCAACACCGGTTTCAATATTTCATTTTGCGCTAGATGCTGAGGTAGCTCGCTTGATCTGGATGGAACGCAATAAAGGGACACAATAAATGTTTTGACTGAATGCATTTCAGTTAGTGCATGTATTGTCAATCAAGGCAGAGCAAAAACGTTCATGAATTGATACCTAATTATTATCACAACCTGAAGGTCAATCTGTGTTCCTGGCTTGACCTGGCCGAAGATCCCGTGCGGGTAGCCCAAGATATGGAAAACAACGGGAGTAAAGTTAGTGGAGTACGGCGGCTCGGCTTCGCTCGGCGCTCGCGCGTGAAGATGACGGAGTGATATTCAACGCGCTTGCCGCTTATGATGCCAAATTTGCTTCTCCTAACGCTTTATGAGCTGCCAATCGCTTGATGATGAAGGTGTTTAATATTATTTTCATTTTGGTTCTCTTTGAGCGGTCGGTGTCTTCCTATTTCTCTTAGTTGCACGTGCTAGGTATTGTATCTAACAAAAGCTGGAGCCCATCGCTTACCTCGGCATCCTACTAAGTTTCCGCGTTATCTGCTGGCCTCAATAAAGTCTGTGATCAGCAAGACTATCCGGGATATGTGTGTCCTCTCAAAGTAAAGGTATATGAGCTGAGTAATTATTCGTAGTGCAACCACGCCCCACAGTTCTTACCATTGGAATTGGATATTGGTGCTATGTCACTTGGATGCACGAGAATCATGTTTGCAAGTGTTCAGGTGGAATGATTGATGAGTTTAAAGGGACTATCCCACCTTTAACATGGGGTTTGAGTTGAGATAGCCAAGTTAGCGGCGAGGTTCAGAAACCACTATCTATCTAGGTTGCAACCCCCGCGGCCTCTTGGTGTTGAAAAAATTCGTTCCCTTCATTTGAAAATGGGCCTTGTGCAAGGCCCTATCTTCAACATGGAGCGACCGTTAGTGTGACGTCACCTCGTTTAGTCATTCTGATTTATATGGGTTTGTTCGTTGAAAAATCGCTTAAAACTTGGTCTGAACTTTGTTGTGGTGCCTACAGAGTAAAAGAATCAGCTTTATGACAGTAATGTGGCCTGGGAAAGGAGGTAATTTTGGGCTGTGACATCACATATTTGAAAGTTTGTGTTTGCAATATGGGAAGCCTAAGATGTTTAATGAAAAATAAATGCCAGAACCGTGTTCCTGGTCATCCAATCTATAAAGTCAGGCACAATTTAACTGGTTTTAACAACATTTTAGAAGGTGGGATAGTCCCTATAACTGTGCCTGTGTGGAACCTTTCTATTCATGATTTAATGAAAGTTGGCCCAACAGTTATCATTAGCAGTTTTAGAAGGATCAGTGCTGACTGCCGAGGTCGAGGAGGCACACCGCGGCACGGGGATGACACGTGGACCTCGGTCATCAGATAACCAACCGTGAGACTGCCGCCATCGGGATTAAGATGCCGTGGGAGGTCGCGACTCGCCGCCACCACGCACAGTCACCTGATCACCCCAGCTCAGCTTTCATCTCACCGTCGCTGTTTAAGGGATTTATACCTGCTGTGAGTAAGGAGCCGCCGTGCCGGGGAGCCGTCTGCTAATGGCCGACAGTGCCCCGCCCGCCGCCCGCCCGGCTCCACCCCGTGGTGGTCGCGGACGGTCAGAGCCCACGGCCGCCCGACACGGCGCGGATTAGTGTCAGCACGCGCGGTAAGTGCGACTCCTGAACCCGACGGTCCCCGGACCCGCTAATTAGCGACGGCGTCGAGTGATTAAATTGATGGAGGTGCGGTGGTGACCAATTACAGATAATGGGACACAACGGATGTCGGTCTCCGTCCATCAGGGCGGGGACGTGGGAACCAAAGAGAAAGTGAAGGAACCAGTGAAGGAAACATAAGAATTGACCCCCCCCCACACACACACACAACTTTGGACCTTGGAGTTGGGTACCACGCCAGTCGCCACGGCACCAACGAAACATATATCGACGGTGCAGCGCACTCAAATATTTTCACTTTTTTAGGCGTTAAGTTCAGAAATGACAGCTCAAGTCACATTGTTGAAACAACTAATGGATTCTTCATCCAACTTACAACTAAACTTGTTGAAACAACAATTTTGCACATTTAAATGGATCCCAGATAGTCTTATCATAAAACTCGCCTCGATTCTCCTTGACAGCAGTAGCGGCGGAACACCTTCAATTAAGGGGGGGGGGGGGGGC